TGAAGAATAAGTGAAGAGCAAAAACACTATGAGGGTAGTCATTTCTTGTTTTATATACAAATTATTTATTGCATTGCAATAGTGTAAAGTAAAAAATTTCTTTTGAGAAAAAAAAACACTTAGAAAAGTGAAAAGCAATAACAAAAATGTACAGTCCTACAGCAGACCGTCCTTTTTCATTTGACAGGTTATTCTCGGGTCAAAGTCTTCAATCTCACTAGAACAGACAAAAAAAGCACACAGTTAATGTTACATGCACCATTTAACCTTGCAGGTCTTTTCCTGCAACTCTTACCTTCTGCTGTGCTGAGGACCAGCAAGGAACAAGTTCTCTGCTTCCTGTGTGGACACACCTGTCAGCTGAGCTAGAGCACAGATGATGGACTAAACAAAACAAACGAAAACACATTATGAAACACTGTTGTACTAAAATCATGTAAGGTCGTCATTGTATTTCAATAAAAGAACTAATAGGTCATTAAAAGCAAAAATAGTACAAGATACATTTATATGGGAACCTTTTGGATCTGTAGGGCAAACCATGAATGAGAAAGACATGAGACAATATATTACTCATCAAAATAAGGCATTTGTTATGTGTGTCGGTGTTTCCACTGGAGTTGTTTCTGCCTGTGGCTATCATCTGTCATAAATATCATCATTGACATAAAAAAGAATTTTGGTGAAACTGCATTAAATTAATTTTACAACATCTGTCGATTTAGAAGCTTTAAGTTAACTTTTGTGACATGGATACCATAAGGATAGAATATCCTACATCTGTATTTATAGTAAATTTATATGCATCCTTTATCCATGATAAGCTCAGATACTTTAATAGAAAAAAAAAAACTTTAACGCACATAACATATACACATGCATAGTAAAACAGAATGTGGACTTGCTTTAAATAATTATTCACTTAATTGTTGACTGATTTGGTTGTACTGAGATGCAGAGACTTATGCAGGGCTAAAATAAATAATAATAAAAGTTAATAATCAACATAAAGAATTGCATGGCAATTCATTAGTCAACACAGCTGACTCCAAAGTCATCAAGATTTCGATGTCGAATTTGACACGGCTGCACAAACATCAGTACTTCTATGCAGGAACTTCTATGCAAGAAAACTATACAGATTCAATAATAACACATATACCAGTACCTAACTCGATTTCGCACCGTGTGAAACAAGCAGATATAAATTAACATACCTTTGATCGTATAACTTGGGAATACACGGCGCAGTTCGCTAGGTGAACTAGGTGAGAGATCACCAACTACTTCTCTACCTACACTGTGTAGCTGGTGTCGCGCATGCGTACGTAGATCGGACAGCCACAGTCAGGCAGTCAATATGCAAATCAAATAGTGACGTACATGGAAAACCAGTGTGCGCATGCGTCCGCAGATCGGGCCAGGACCGCAGATCGGACTAATGACAACAACCAGAAACAGCTGATCACATGGGAATGCCACACGTTGAGGGGGCGTGGCACACGGAAGGAGCGGACGATCGGGGCAGGACAGGGGTAATGTTGGGATAAGATCTTTATCGTTTTGGAAGCCATTAAGAAAAAAATGCTCTTCTTGTTTTACTCTGTTCATTTTGTGTTTAAATGCTAAAAAAAAACATATTTAGGTGTAATTTTGGGGGGCCGGGAAACAATTAATTGGTTTTCCATTATTTCTTATGGGAAAAATTCCATCAGAACTCGACTTTTTTAGGATTCGATCCGGAATCCGGTACGGATTACGTTCGAGAACCGAGGTACCACTGTATTACAAATAATGCTGTGAACCCAACACAAATAAAAAATGTATAACGTTTTTAAAATCGACTTCATTGAAACGGCATTTAAGATTTACTTTTTCTTGTCTCCATCTAGTGGTCAGAAGCCTGCATATCCAAATAATTTAATTCCCATTCCCAATGTGGGGCTTCCTATAAATTTTCATATAAATTACATATGCATTAGGTGTCATACTTGCTTAGGACCTTAATTAGTTTATATTTCCCTCATTAAATATATACAAGTCCTGGTAAGCTTCTGTCCATCCCTGCTGCTGAATTTCTACTTGCTGTTATTGTTTCTCTTTGCCAATGTCCACGTTGGGCACAAGCTATCTTAGTTCTTGATATTGTTTCACTTTAGACATTGGGTGGGAAATCCACAAAGGGCCAGTGTCTATGCAAGTTTTTGAGATAACCTATGGGTCAGCTGTTCAAACCCAGGTGTGAGGACTCTTCAGCCAATCAGTCCTCTAATTAGTAATCTAATTAGGAAGTTGCAGTGAAAACCAAAATACCCAATGGCCCTTTCTGGATAAGCTTGCCCACTCCTGCTTTACACGTTTATTTTTATCAATCATGCTGCAATTCTTTGTAATGCTGTTAGTTAGCACTTGTTGTTTTGAAAACTCACATAACAAAGTGCTGACTGTCAGACCTGCTAATTGCCACATGAGGCCGGGCATTGTCGTGCACCAGGAGGAACCCAGGACCCACTGCACCAGCGTAGGGTCTGACAATGGGTCCATGGATTTCATCCCGATACCCAATGGCAGTCAAGGTGCTGTTGTCTAGCCTGTAGAGGTCTGTGTGTCCCTCCATGGATATGCCTCCTCTGACCATCACTGACCCACCACCAAACCGGTCATGCTGAACAATGTTACATACAGCATAACGTTCTCCATGACTTTTCAGACCCTTTCACATCTGTCACATGTTCTCAATGTGAACCTGCTCTCATCTGTGAAAAGCACAGGGTGCCAGTGGTGGATCTGCGAATTCTGGTATTCTACAGCAAATGCCAATCGAGCTCCACAGTACCGGGCAGTGAGCACAGGGCTCACTAGAGGACGTCGGGCCCTCAGGCCACCCTCATGAAGTCTGTTTCTGATTGTTTGGTCAGAGACATTCACACCAGTGGCCTGCTGGAGGTCATTTTGTAGGGCTCTGGCAGTGCTCCTCCTGTTCCTCCTTGCACAAAGGAGCAGATACTGGTCCTGCTGATGGGTTACGGACCTTCTATGGCCCTGTCCCGCTCTCCTAGAGTAACTGCCTGTCTCCTGGAATCACCTCCATGGCCTTGAGACTGTTCTGGGAGACACAGCAAACCTTCTGGCAATTGGCATGTATTGATGCGCCATCCTTGAGGAGTTGGACTGTGCTGTGCAACCTCTTTAGGGTGTAGGTATCACCTCATGCTACCAGTAGTGACACTGACTGTAGCCAAATGCAAAACTAGTGAAAAAACAGTCAGAAAAGATGAGGAGGGAAAAATGTCAGTGGCCCCCACCTGTTAAACCATTCCTGTTTTGGGGGTCGTCTCATTGTTGCCCCTCTAGTGCACCTGTTGTTTTTTTCATTAACACTAAAGCAGCTGAAACCGATTAACAACCCCCTCTGCTACTTAACTGTCTACGTCAATATCCCAGAAGTTTAATTCACTTGATGCTATACTCTGATTAAAAAGTGTTCCTTTAATTTTTTTGAGCAGTGTATTTGACTGGGTAACGTTAAGTCACAATTGATACGGTAAATTAAAGATTAGTATAAAACACCATACAGCTGCAGTCCCCGTCATGTTTGTGTAGGATGATATAGTATAGACAAATATGCTGTAAGTAAAGTTACATGTTCAATGATTTGCATTATAATGATTTGTTTTATTTTTTTTAATTGTTGTGTCCTGCGAATAATGTTAAACTGCATTCGCTCCTGCAAGTAGTCCTCCAACTTGCAGAGAAAAATCTGTGGCTTGGTGGTGGGATTGGCACTCAAACCACCATAAAAAAACTTCACATAGCTACAAGACAGTGTGCAGGACTCTTTTCTGCTCTCTGTGGGAGTAGCTCTGCTACAGCTGTTCACAGGAATCTTGAACATACTATGAAGAGGATGCGGGAAAGTCCTCAGGAGCCTCATTCCCAGAAGAGTTGAAACTGCAGAACTGCAACATCTACATAAGTGCCCAATTTGTGAATTCTGACCACAGACCTGTTCAACTTAGGTTCAGTAGGCTACCCCCTACTAGGAGAATGAGGCTGGACCTGGCCAGAATCCAAGATCAGACTATTTCTGATGAGTTTGTAGGCAGTTTGCAGGAAGAACTTGCAGATTTCTGAGACTGCTGATCCTAATGTGATGTGGGACACATTCTGTGATAAAACCGTGAAGGATACTGATGGTTGTGTTGGTTTGCCAGTGTTTCCAAAAGGAAGTGTTTCATCTCACAGGGCATCCTGGTTATTACTGAGAAGAGTCACAGCACACAGCTTGATGGTAAATGCAGTCTGTAGCAAGAATAAAAGGATGGCTGCGAGGGCACTGAGGGCAGATAAGGAGATGTTTGTTAGAGGAATCTGTGAGGAATGGTCTTTATAGATGACATTGCAGTTGTGACCCACTAAGCTGTGAGCAAATGACATACTATTTGTGGTCTAGTGACCCACATCCTGCTCATAGAGGAACTGAAACATTATGCACCAAACCTGTTTCTCAGAGAGTAACAGTCAGGGCAAGTGAGAGAACAGTCCGTATGGATGACACCGCAGTTTTTTAAGGATTATCCTCTGACTAGGGTTGGATATCTCTGGGTCCATGGTTCTTGGGGCTGATCCTCTGATTGGCTGTGAAACATCCAATCTCACTGAGATTGCACAGGTGGTGAACCAGGTGGGGGTAGGGAAGGACACAGGGATCTGTGGTATCCAATGCGAGCTTCTTTAGTCTGGTCGTAAGGCTGTCATCCCAACCGAATGGATTTTGGATTTGTTGTCCCTATCTGGAGAAAGAAGGGCAATCACATAGATTGCAGCAACTACAGGAGTATAACACTGCTCATTGCTGGGCAAGGACTTCACTAGGGTTATCATCAACAGAGCCTGTGATCACTTGCTCACCTACCAGTGACCAGAGCAGTCTAGTTTTACACCTAGGAGGTCTATCATGGACTCCATCCTCCACTAAGATGTCTTATCGAGCACAAACATGAATATGAGCAATGTATCTTTGCAGCCTTTGTCGATTTCGTAAGGTGACTCAGTTGATCATGGGATCCCTCAAAGTTGTTGGACTTGATGGCCAGCCTGTACACCAGTACTGTCAGTGCTGTGCAGAGTGAAGGCAGAACCTCTGCTTCTCAGTGGATTCTGAGGCTTGTCAGGGGTGTGTTCTTGTTCAATGTATGCATGGAATGGGTGCTGGGCAGAATTGTGGGGTCCAGTGGCTATGGGGCATCTGTTGGTGAAGAAAGATTTACTGATCTTAACTTTGCTGACAATGTGGTGATCGTTGCTGAATCAATGAATGCTCTGATTGGGGCTATCAAGAGACTGAGTGAAATGTCTGAGTGTTTGCATTTGTGAGTGTCCCAGATGAAAACCAAGATCCCAGCATTGGATGACCTCTTGAGTACAGCCTTCAACAGTGTGTCTGTCTGCAGAGGGTGTTGACCTCATCAAGAAGTATACTTACCTTGGCAGTGGCAATCATGTTTCTGGTGACTCTTCCTATGAAGTCAGTAGATGGATTAAGAGTACATGGGGGTCATAAGGTTCCTGGAAAGGGGTGTGTGCCACTCCAAACTTTATAAGAGGATGAAGGTCTAAGTCTTTAGAGTCCTGGTGCTCCCTGTCTTGCTGATTGGCTGCTAGACATGGACACTATCCAGTAGGGGTGGCACGGTTCACAAAACCCACGGTTAGGTTTGTATCACGGTTTTAGGGTCACGGTTTTCGGTTCTGTACGG